ACTTCCTGGCAGTTGTTTCTCTTCCTTTCATGCAGTGAAGAGAGCTGCTTATAAACTGGAGCAATCCAGTTTGAAAATCAGTACTGACAAACTGGACAGAAAAACCGTGATTGCCACAGCGAGTCAAACTAAATCTGACAAGAAGAAAATTACCGCTCTGCCCCTCAAGATTAAATTACTATGTGTCTTTTCAAGGCACTCAAAACCAAAATAGCTTCAAGAGGACTAATCAAATTGATGTGTCCCCATGAAGAGCAAAACAAACAAGATTGCATTTATTCAGACCAGACTCCCCCTGATGGCAGAAGGCTGCATCACACACACATCAGTGTGAGCCTCATGGTGTCAAAGCTTCTGATGGTGTGGAGTCAAATAATGAAATCTGACATAGCAGGAATCCACCTGGCCTTAACTTCATTAATAGATTAAAAGAAAAAGTAAAGCCATTTTTATTTAGGTAAAAGCATGGTAATGTTCATTTCAGAGGTTAACATAATTATAATAGATATATGATATTGTTGCATTATTATAATTATTTTGAAACATTGAAATGTTAACAGCATTTCAATGTAGCACCTAGTTTAGAGCAAATGCTTTATATTGTATTGAGGGTTTTAATCTATGGTGATGCTTCAAACTTTATACCGTGATGACATGTTGTGTATGTTAGCTAGGTGATTATTTGATTGATTCTTGATTGATTAATAGCAGTCTATTGTGAAAAAAATTACTTTCTTAACAAAAGAAAATTCTACATAACTGTTTTCTTAAATGTTCTTGGGTTTTTCTGTCAAAAAGCGAAACATTTGAAATTGATATGACTGAAAAGAGAAGCACATCTTTTGATTTTAGAAACTTGAACCAGCTAATCTAATAATGTCAATTTCTTATGTCAGGAACTGAATCTGTAAAATGTAATGGAGTAAAAAAAAAAGAGTAGAATCAAATAAAAGTACTAGTACCTTAAAACTGTACTTATAGGAATGGTACTAACAGTAAGTACATGTCATTTGTTTAATTTGCTTCCAAATAAAAGCAGCCAAAAGACAAAACACTGCAATACTTGCCCCCTGTTTGATTTCAGATTACGCCTACAGTGGTATGCTCTGTACCTTAAAACAAGATTCTGTCTCTCCGCAGGTCCATGTGTTGCTAACAGCAGCTGGCTTCAGGTACCGTGTATCGACTGCAGCAGACTGCATTAAGTATGAGCAGCAACATTATAAGATAGTCCCACCCACAGGTCAGGAGTCCACGAGACCTCTCAGAGGCCAGATGTTTCACATGAGACCTCACTGGAGGTTATCAGAGGTAGGAGTGTTTGGGTGGCAGTCCCGGGTCTGGGTCAATCATTATTTGTAAAGATTGCGCTAACGTGGGGAGTGATGGGGCGGTTTAACCTACAGGGTCTCTCCCCTGTAATTACTGTATTTGTTCATGACACAGCCCCCGACTTGTGTTGCCACATAACAATGACCAGGAGTGACACATGCAGAGGAGGCGTGAGGGTAGTGTGGGCGAAGTACAATGTGTTCAAAGGTTAATCTCCAACCTCCTGTACTGTAAGGGTCACTATAGTGGTCTGATTGTTGTTTATCCTATTACTTCATGTGTTATTGTAGTATTTCTTTCTTGCAGATTTGGAAAGCATTTATATACTTATATTAAATATTGTAGTTTTTACCCCATTACAATTGTTGTACAGTCATAATTATTATAATGTACCTACAACACATGAACAGTTTATAAAACCTCCTGGTTTGGTAAAGGTGTTTCTAGTCAGCAGTATATAAAGCTACAAAATAAAAGGCTGCTAACAAATTGCATCAGGAATAATACAAATGATAAAATAACACAACTTGTGTTGGATACTGAGTACTATATGTAAGTAAAGCTGTTCGCCTGGATTTGAGAGAAAATGTACTTCAAAAATATGAAGTATCTAAAAAACAACCTTAATTTAAGATCTATATTTATTATTATATGTAATTCTTCTTAACTATTACTGTATATACTATTTATGATAGATTTGATATGCTATTGTGAGTGTGGAGGAAACTTCTGTGTAGCAATGCATTGGGAGTCACCGACTCAGGAAGGAGACACGGTGAGAGTTGGAGCTTTGATGTCAAACACTGATGGGTTTATTCAGAGTATTCGGCCGGAGGATTCACATCACAAGTCAAAGAGTCAGAGGTTCTGACTACACGGTAGAGTTGCCACGTCAATTCTGAAGAGTCTCTCTCTATGTTAGACCTTTTAACTGGTTCACAGAGAATCAACATCTCTGAAGGAGTAGACTAAACAGCTGGGAACACTGAGCCACCTGCGTCCGACACTCATGGCCTCCAAGATTTCACATCTTAGAGTCCACAAACACCGATAAAGAAGTGCCTCAGCGTTCTCACAACAATTACCCTTCGTGCCAGACAAGTTGACCGGTCACAAACTGGTGACAACAACACATATGGCACCAAGGCCTTTCCTTAAAGGAGATAACAGACGTCAGAGTAGATCATAAAACGTCACAGAGCAAAAGGTTAGATATCTAGAATAATTATTCCCTAACAGTGAGTAGTTATAACCATATTGTCTTCATTTTATTCTAGGATTCTCACACTTGAGCACCCAAATGCATTTCTTTTTTTTTCAGATGTTGTTTTGGCCCTCAGGCCTTTTTCTAAAAGCCTTTTGGGTCAGAGTGTGTGACATGTTTCCAAGCCTATTTCTAGTGATCAGCACTTCACAGCCCTGGCAGTAAGTGTCTTTTCTTACATTTTATAGACTTTATAATAAAGTGTTTTAATATAATCATTATGTCTTTCGAGTATTTTTGTTCTTGCTCAATATAATAATGTCTGTTTGTGTCACACACTTCACGCAGCTTCATAATTGCGCAAATTGCGTTCACCTTGGCGCTCAAGTGGTTCAACAGGTGTAAAACAGCAGGGGGCAGAGAACAGTGTAACCAGTGAGTGGGTGTCGCTCTGATCCCAGAACTACCTTTTCACAGCCAGAGAAGTTATTCACACACTGCTGTTCTCTGAAGAGTTACTCCACAAACCTGCAATAATGAACGATATCTGCACCAGAACGCTGTCTGATAGTCATGGATCAGTCAATAATGTGTGAAGGGGGGTACATAACCTTTAGAGAGAGCTAAGATGTGAGTGACTCAAACTCATTTAATGCAGAATAGATTCGCTACAGCGTCTCTGGTGCACTGATTGATCAGTCCATTAGATTTAATCAAAAGTTAAGGATACTTATGGGACAATCTAATAAGATTAAACTTCTCCAGCTTGCCAAGTGTTGGTATGGATCATCATTAGGCAGCTAGTGTCAGACAATACATAATTGATGATCCTGCTGGGATTGACTGCAGCAGAATCCATAATAGCATTTTATTAAGTACTCACTGAGCACTTGGAGACACTACAATGGCAGTTATTCAAATAGTGCATCTAATACAAATACAGGATTGTGAATGCATCCGGTTTTACTATTTACACTGTACTGTATATACTGCCCAAAACTAGATCTGTGCCCTTCATGAAAACAAAGTCTATGAGTCACCTAAAGGTCATCTTTGCCTACTCAGATGCCCCCCTGGATGCTTTAGCAAATATAAATGTGAATGTTATTTTAAATTGCTTCTGCAGAGACTTTCTAAATCAAGCTCCACAGGCAATCTGTGCACAGTCCTCTGCGTCTAAAAAACAGAACAAGAAATCTGTCGCTCTCGAGTACAAAAGGCAAGACTCATTAGGACAGCAGCTCTTTACACTGTCAGCAAGAAGCTATAAATGAGGGTAATAACAGGGAGCGTCCTTATTGGAGGGGGGGTCTCTGAATGACTCTCTCCAGCCTTTGTATTTATTATCAGAGCTACAAATCACTGTGACCTCCTCAACAAAACAACCTTATGTCACAGCCAGTCACTCTCCGTCCTACTAGTTCCCAGTGGCAACATGACCGTGGTGATTTTTAAAGATACGTATGTTTTTGAGCCAACGTTTGTATGCCTTATGATGTAATTCTAATGTAAAAATAAATCTGCCAGTGGAGGGAGGTCATATCACAAACCCTCTATGCAACATAAGATATCAAGAATGATTTTTTTGGACACAAGTAAACCAATGTTTTCTGTTAAACGCGTGAAATCGACGAGAATTAAATGACGATTTTTGACGCTATAGGAGAAAATGAGATCAGATTGAGAGATGACACTGATGAACAGAGAGAGGGAGGGGTATTTGAAAGGCTGGCTTCACATCATATGGTCATTCTAAAGTCTTTGTAATTTGGATGAAAGGCTGACCGGCGGGTGCATACATCAGAGTTGAGGCTAATCCTCTCATTCAGACGGGGATCAAGTCCCTGAGGTACCATCCTACATATTCTCTCCAGGCCACATACTGCCATCAGGCTAAATGAAAAGCACCGTCATCACATTTGTCCAAGCAACACATAATTAACAACATAAATTAAGCATTTTAAGGTGCATTTTTATAAAAGGTAGGCCACAATCCAACGAGTTGCCAACATATTAAGGTAATCCTTTAGGTTAAAACACAAAAACTTACTAAATTAATTATGCAACATTTCAGCAGCGTGAAAAATGGTTTAATACAGCATCAGCTGATCCTACTGCAAAACAAACTTTGGCTGATGCTGGAGAATGTAAGCATGTTGTGTAATTTGTAGGAAAAAAAATGCTGAGAAGGGCATAAAGGGAAATGAATGCTGAAATCCTCCACAGAGAGCTTAATCTGCCTCTACACTTCCCAAATCAACAGGTCTGCTTTTCAACAAACTACTCGCAAAGAAAAACTGTTGCACCGTGTTTTCTTTCTTGAATAAATAACAAGTATAATGGTTCAAAACGCCAGAATACACAATTCCCAGCAGCACCTCATGCTGAATTCATGTGAGAGTCCTTGTTCTGCTACAGGACCAACATGCCACCCTCCCCCCCCCCCCATGCTCCCCCAACTCACCTGTGCCGGCTGCATACTGCAGGCTGCCTCGCTTCCTAAAGGGGGAGAGCGGCTTGTTTTTGGCCCCCCCGGCGGGTCCTGGGGGAAGGTTGGAGGACATGATGCCAGGTTCAGCTGCTCAGCGTGGCAGGGATGGTCGTAGCTGAGTGAGTCAAAGCTGCGGAGGACAGAGCGATACAGAGACACAGAGTAAGAGAGGAGGTAGAGAAGGAGGAGAGAAGAGATGCAGCGCAGATGCTTGGAGCTTGACGGGGTTTGATTGCAGTCAGCGCAAGTGTGTGTGTGTGTGTGTGTGTGTGTGTGTGTGTGTGTGTGTGTGTGTGTGTGTGTGTATGCTACGTGCCTGTAAGCAGGGATTTTCCAGTCTGGTTGGTCCAGCGTGGGGCTGCGGAGCATCCCTCTGCAGCGAAACAGACCACGCCCCCTCAGAAAGGCTCTCGTGCCTGAGCTGCAGCGCTGGAGGGGCTCGGCTTCCTCCCCGATACGCATAAACACACACACACACACACACACACACACACACACACACACACACACACACACACACACACACACACACACACACACACACACACACACACACACACACACACACACACACACACACACACACACACACACACACACACACACACACACACACACACACACACACACACACTTCTGTTGTTGCCATGACAACCACAAACCCTCGGTGTGTGGGCAAACCAATGAGCAGAGTAGTTGTGGTTAGATTCCATAATAAAATAAATGCTACAAAGAAATATAATATATTTGTACACTTATCCAATTAAACTAATTGAAATAAATAATAAACAAAAACATAATCTATGGTGTAAGCTAAAAAGAAAATCTAAAATATATGTGATATATGGAAATGTCAGTCTGTCAGGATTCATACAGACATTTCAGTATACCCAGAGAATGAAACACACTGTTGTGCGTCTGACTTTTCATTAAGCGCTACGAGAGTGACACTTTCCGATCTGAGGGAAACATCTCAACAACTGTTGGATTGATTGCAATGACCTTTAGTAGCTTCACATTTAAAGCTGATTGCATGTAAACTGGATAGACATTTGTGTTTGATTATTTAGGTCTAATGCTGTGTTCACACCGGACGCGATGCGACGTTTGGGGGCGGCGCGATTACATGTAAAGTCAATGCAGAGACGTGGACAGACGCGAATTCGCTCGGACGGCGCGCATGAAGCGGTGGACGCGGCGCGAATCACACGATTGAGGCGATTGAACGGTGCCGCGTTAAACGCGAGAGTTCAATTTTTTCAACTCGAGCGTCAAATTCACATGACGCGTTCTCGCGGAAGCCAATCAGCGGTGAGGATCTCAGCCGCCGTCACTGACGTTCAACCACACAACATCAGCCGTTAGCTGTTAGCAGTTAGCACACAGAGCTCACAGCTCCTCATATCCGTTCAGAAACTGGACAAAAGTTAAACAAGTACAAACCACAGACTGTCTGTGTCATGGTGAATACAGTCGCTGCTTATTTATGTCTGTAGGCCGTTGTTATGAGTGTGGAATGAGCATATACAACGTTAGCTTAGCCTGGTCGACCCGATCTTCATTCAGAAAACAAGCATTTTAAAAGGTGTTTTGCCTGCCGTCTTGTCTGCAGACTTGTCAAAGCATTAATTCATGGTTGTTACTAACCGGTATCAGTATGTTGTTACTTCGGCATCATTTAGAAACGTGTATTACAATTTAATCACGGTAAAATATGTTCATTTGTTGTAGTTGTAGCTCCCGAGCCAGCGCGTCTTGTTTGAATGATGCGAGTAAACACAGCTGGCAGCCGCGGTGAACCTCCAGCGTTTAGAGCGATGCGATAGGAGCGATTAGAGCGAAGCGAATAGTCGCATCGCGTCCGGTGTGAACGCAGCATAAGCTGTACAGGCTGTTTTATTTGAGGACTGCAACAGACAGTCATTTTTATTGTCGTTTAATAGTTTGTCTGTAAAATGCCAAAACATTGTGGAATTTCTCCACAATCCCAATTTCTTGGGTCTTTAAACCTTTTCAAATTGCTTTCTTTTCAGACCAATGGTCCAAAAATAACCAAGTCTGCTAATAATTATTATTATTATTTAAAATGTTAAAATACACCTCCCTGAAGGATGAACGCCTGTAAGAGGAGAGATGATGAGAGAGGGCAGTAGCGACAGATCAGTGCAAAGTGTTCTTTGAAAACAACTTGTAGGTTTATAAAATCTCAGGGGACTAAAAATGATAATGGAGTAGAGGGACTGTCTTAATATTAAATCTACTGTAAGAACAGTTATTAAACCAGACATAGACTTAGGATACAGCTCATACAAATCATTAACCTGTTAAGCCCGAGAGACCCCGGTACCGGGGCCCTCCCGCAACATCTTCCAGGAAACAGTGTCTGAGGGCATCTTAACATTTAATAAACTATGAATGTTTTATATCCATGTAACGGGAAGAAACTCATCTAACTGATAATTTTAATTTTTTTTTCAAAAGAAAACCCACAATGCTAACGCTGAGCCTCTGAATTAGCAACGAGCGAAAAATGCTAACAGATTTACTGCACCGAAACTCACTCATAAAACCTTATTATTTATCCTTTCTGCACATCCAACCCATTGATCTGATCGGGAGATGACACAGAATCGATGGGTACATACATTATCACTATATGATACGAACTCGCGACTTTATAAACGAAAACAGACATCAAAACATGTGGCGCTTGGTAGCTAACAAACGCTTACCTGTGTCGTAGTCTGGTCAAAAGTGTTCTTCAATGGCATTAAAACGATAAAAACGCTGCTGAGGTTAATCCATAGGTTAATCCAATGTGTCTGTGTCCCTTTGAAATGATTTCTGATAATCCATAAGCAATAAAACTGCTTTTCCGTTTCCAGATGTCAGAGCGAGAGATAGGTTCGCTCTGATGCAAAACTGCATGCGCAAAGCCCGCACCTTTTTCTTTTACCATGTGTGTGTGTGTGGGGAAATTCCCCTTCGATTCTATTGGCTCTAACGGTCAAAAAGAGATTTCATTCGTCAAAATCGACCAAGTGGGGCCAGAGATATGGAAAATCCACCCAAATGACCCCAGATGTAGGTTTTCTTTGCTAAATCTCTCTAAAAAGGTCAGATTTCAATTGTTTTGCATCAATCTTGATACAGGGTACTTATTATATGTTGTACTTTGGATTCCTAAAGCTTTTAGTCTACTAACCCATCATCCAAGGGTGGTTTTCACTATAAGTAAAAAATAATTTTTGGACGGACACTATAATTTACAGTTTTTTACTATGTTCAATCTGAATTTTCTTTAAAATAAAAAACATCTATATTGATTCTGACTTTTCTACATCCAACTCACAGGTTTATCATTACTTTGAGAAAAAAGATTATTAATTTAACCCTTTTAGAAGGGAAGATATGGTCATTTGTTCTGGGAATGTCATTTTCGAGCCTGAGACCTGAAAAACAGGCTCAGGGCTTAACAGGTTAAGTCAATAATGGCGCGTTTCCACTACAGCGCGGAGCACGGTTTAAGAGGGCTGTGACGTCAGCGGCCCGTCTTTGGTTGCGTTTCCACTTGGCCTAGTACCGGCCGGCGGGTCCTAATTCAGTTTTTCTGGCCTCATAAAATCGTGGGTCTAGGGCCAGAGACAACGAGGCTGAGTCGGGCTGAGTATGCTAAACACTAAGAGAGCATCGCTGGCAAGGGGGCTACAACTACAACAAGATGGACATATTTGACCGTGATTTAATTCAAAAATGATGCCGAAGTAACAACATACTGATACCGGTTAGTAAAAACCATGAATTAATGCTTTGACAAGTCTGCAGACAGACGGCAGGCGAAAAACCTTTTAAAATGCGTGTTTTCTAAATGGAGATTGGCTAAGCTAACGCAGTATATGCTCCGACCGTCCACACTCACAACAATGGCCTATACAGACATAAATAAAGCAGCGACTGTATTCGCCATGACACAGGCAGTCTGTGGTTTGTACTTGTTTAACTTTTGTCTAGTTTCTGAACATATATGAGGAGCTGTGAGCTCTGAGTGCTAACAGCTAACGGCTGTGTTGTTTTTCTGGGGTTCTCATTGAAGATGACTTCACGGCTCCGCCTACACTGCGTTACTATATAGATACTACCCCAGTTCCTAAACTGTAATGGAAATGCGCCATAAAGTGAGCCAGTCCTAACGAGGCCTAGCCATACCGAGCGGGGCCGAGCGAGGCCGTGTAGTGGAAACGCGCCATTAGTTAAAGGGGACCTATCATGCAAAATGCACTTTTGCACGTCTTTTATACATGAATGTGTCCCCGGTGTTCCAGGGAACTCACCAAGTGTCAGAAAACACAACCCTCTCTCTTTTCCTCCATACCCAAATCTCTAAAAACGGGGCTGCAACGGAGCTGATACAGATTTGAAATTGTTCTGACGTCAGAAACAGGGAGCTCCGCCTATATGGGCAACTCTCCACCTATCAGGGGAATGGGGGGTTGGGCCACGGCCACGGCCATTGCCGCTCGAAAGCGCTGGAGACGCTGTAGTACATATGCCAGGCCTGTAAGTGGCGCTGTAGTCTGCCACAAAAGCAGCAAAGAAGACTTCTCACAGAATCAGCCCTTGCAAAAACAGGGCTGGAAAAGAGCAAATAGAGCGAAATGAGGCATGGCTAAAATGCATGATCTGTTTGGTATTTTGAAAAAAAAATTCACAGACATGTTTTATATAGGTATGGCCCTACAATATATTATTCAAATATAGCATGATAGGTCCACTTTAAGAAGGGGGGAAATTGCTGCCTAATTTAAGGAATGGACTATTGTGAAGAATAATTAACATGCAATCAATGCAGGATGTAAAGAAATGAATGTATCATTGTAGAGAAACGGCCTGGAAATACAGATAAAAGCAAAAATCAGTCTTACGTCTTTCCTTTCTAGTCTCATAGGTTTTAAACCACAATGTCTTTGTGAAGACAGACAAGCAGCTCCCTGAGAAATACCACAGAATGATTGGAACCTCATGTCTATTCAGTCCTGTATTAATCACAGGAAACATCCTCCTGGATAAAACAACAAAGACAATGAAAAACATGGAACAGTTATTTGAAATGTAAAACAAGACACTGGCAGCATACTGATGGATAATAATGCGGGTAATAAACAGGCTGGCCCC